TTAAATAGTGGTAAGGAGGCTCAAAAGGAGAAGGAGAGTTTTAAACAGTCCCACACTTGAGAGAACTAAAACACTAGGCTTCCCGGACCACCCCTATAAGTAGGCCAGGGACGAGGACTCAGGGTTTTGTGTCTTTTTTGCCCTGAGACTGATTGGTGGCAAAATCCTAAAAAGCAAAGGACCTATGTGTCTATCTCTGAGGCAGCAAGAATGGAGGAAGGAAAGGGGCACTGCAAGAATGTTTTACACGGAAGCCAGTGTAAGAAGAACCCCTTGGGGGCAGGGTGGGTGATGGCAGCTGACCAGATGTGAGGACAGGAGGTGGAGTCCCTGCTGCAAGCAAGGGAAGGAGAGCAAGGAACTGGCCTGGACCCCAGAGGGGGCCCCGGGACAGAGGAGAATGCTTCTCGACCTCTAGGATAACAGAGGTTTTGGGATCCTGGCTTTAGACTCATCCCAGCCTGTGTCATGTGACTGACAGCAAGGATATTCCCAAATGGGGTTTCCCAAAACTGCCCGATGGTTTCTTACCTGGGCCAGCAGTCAGCGAGTATGTATTTATGGGCTGGGTAGGCACTCCATGCTTTATACGCCTCATCTCCCTGACTTTTCGCAATCACTTTTGGAGAGAGGTCATACCAACGTCCTTATTTTACAGAAAAGGAAACAAGAGACTCAGAGGGTGAGTGACTTGTCCAAGGTGGGGCCAGGTCTCCACTGCATCTGAGCTACGCTGCCATCCACGTACAAGTGCCAGAAGGAGAACTTAGGACTCCAGCTTGCTTCCTTCTCCCATTTTCTGCCCAGCTGGGCCTTGAAGCTAAGATCTAGACACTCTTTTCTTCTGAGAAGTAACATCAGGAAAAAAGCAGCTGTCAGTTATCATTCCAGAAAAGCACAAAGGACACTAGAGGGTGAATGATGATGAGTTTTGGGGTGGGCCTGAGGCTTTCAAGTCATGTGACCCTCTACCTCCGAGAAGGGTGCAATTAGGCCAACAGCGGATCCTTAGGATTGTCAAGGACAGAATGAAGACACATCCCAAGATGTGGACATTCTATGGTGAAACATGTGTTGTCTCCATCTTTCAAAGTTTTAACCACACAATGTCCTGCAGAACATAATCAGAATCTAGGCTGAACACACACACATTCTCTCCACGCTGTGGAAGGAGTAAAAAGTACACAAATACTACGGGCAGGCCTGCCCTGCAACAAGCTCGGACACTCCCAGTGGCTGCCTCCAACCTTTGTCTCTCAGGATTGCCCGTTAAACTAAACAGAAGAAACTATGTAGGCTCAGGAAAACACACAGAGAAGCAAATCTGGAATATCTTGGCTTGTTCTGTTTATTCCCCTCCTAAATGATTACTCAAACACCTGCCAGGAAACGGCCCCCATCTGGAAAGCCACTTGGAATTCTTGACCAAAATGTCAGCAAGATACTTGTGTAAAATGAGCTTTAATCCTGGGCTGATGTGTCTTAATCTTCTTATCTGTGCAAAAAGTATGGAAAGCATCTTGGCAACACAAATAACAGTCTGTTAAGACGTGACAACTGCTTTAATCCTACAACACTTAGTATCTCAACCCTTCAAGTCATTTCTTTTCTCAGGAATTATTATAAACAGTTCTGTGCAGCAACACAAAGGTGAATGTGTCATTGATGTGTCAAATGTATTCGCAAACTAATTCTCTGGTAAAGAATGGAAGTGATCTCAAACATGCTGTTGCTAGGTGATGCCTCTCTTGATCTTAGTGTCCTGAATGCTCAGTGGCCACCCAACCCCGCTAGTAGAGGTGGTGGGCCCCTTAATTCCTTTTTCGGTACTCGAGTATGTTTTCCCCCAGGCAACTCTCAACTGGTCTCAGGGAGATTATAGGGGGCATAGTTTTGGAGATGATGGTATCTTTTATTTTACGCACTTCTTTCTGGAATGCTCTTCATCCTGTCATTACCTTTACCTACTGAAATCCAAGCCGCTTTTCAGTGCTCTAACTGCTGTGTCCCTATACCTCAAGCAAGAGGGGCAACAAGCAACTCACATTTGCTGAATGGTCTTTACTAGAACCAGCGGTAGTTGCTTTGGACGCCCAGTCTCATTTAATGTCATCACATCCCTGTGACGTACATATTATTTATCATCTCTGATCTGTGAATCACGAAACGAGACAGAGAGGCCTTGGACAGATGGTGCTTTGCTTGAAGTCACAAAGCTGATAAGTGGCAGAGCTGGGACCAGGACCCTAAGTCTGACTTCTGAGCTGGGTGCTTCAGGTCCCCTGAGGTCCCACTAAAGGCCAAGTCCCATTCTGCCTTCTTTATTTCTACACAAATCGGCCCCGCAGTCAAATCCTCCTATCCCTGCCCCCCCACCCCACCTGGCTCCACTCGCCCAGACTATAAGTGGCCGTGACAGAACCTGCGCTTTGGGCACCTTTGTGCCTTGAATCCAAGAGAAATCCCACAAACTTGTTAAATAAATCCTACAAAGTCAGCAATTTCGCCTGAAAGTAAGAAATTCAGGGAGCCAGCTTTGTAGCACTTTTATGTTCTGCCACTAGGTGGCGCGACCTGGCAGAGCCAAGAGGTGAAATCAAAGGGACTGACGACTGGGGGAAAGTTCCAGGAAAGACAACGGAAATCAACCCCCCCCCCCCACCAGGAAGGAAATCTTAAGGACCACAGAACTTCCGCTGAGGCAGCAGACCAAAACTGAGGAAACGTGGGCTCTGGTTTTTATGGGCATTCAAACTGGCCTCAAGCACTTATGGCTGGGCTCCTGGGCGACTCAAGGAACCTTCGCTGTTCCCTGACAGTCCAACAGGAATGGTGCTACACCCCAGGCAGTTCTAGGGAGGATTAAATGAAATGATGCAGACAAAGTGTTTGGGAGATGGCTAGCACACAGCAGGAATTCCACCTGGGCATTATTATCATTATTATAATTGTACCCAGAAGACTGCAAAAATACTGATGCCACCTTAAAGCATCAGTCTTGGATTCAAGGACTATCTCCAACCCCTAGGTCCCCAACAATGGTAAGTGCCTCAAAATCTGGCCCCGTCTAAAGCTGCCCAGATGCCGGGACAACTCACATGCTCAGTTGCTCAGAATCCCTCAAGCCTGATCTGATGGAAGGCCAACCAGTTAAGCCCCGCTTGCAGTTGAACGATTTACTGAGCACCTACCATGTGCCAGGCACTGTGTCTGGCACTGGAGACAGGATGAAAGATACACAGAGATAGGTGCCGTAAGGAAGATAAAGCAGGGTGATGGGAAAGAGTACGGGGAGAAGGGCACTGCAGAGTGAGTGGTTAAGTATGGCCACTCTAAGGTGTCATTTGAATCTCAGACATAAAGGAGTAAGGCAGGTGAAGGCAGAGTATAGTGTGCAGAGAGAATCCCAAGTATGAAAGTCCTATGGACAGAAAGAACCTAGAGGCTAACATGGGGGAAAGCAGGAGGTGAGGTTGGGGCCGTGAAAGTCCATCTTACTCTCTCAGGGGCAGATGTGGTCAACTAAAACAAGTCCCGCTCGTCTGGCAATAAAAGCCCACAACAGGGGGGGACCTCCAAAGGTGCTGATAAGGACTGATCCAGGCCCTGGACTCTCAGACACCCAGTGGCCACCACCATCAATGCTACAAGACATCCTTTCCCTTCTGAGTAAAGAGTAGACTGTTTCCTCACACTCCTGACCTGAGAAAGCCAAACTCTCGAGAACCATGTGCCCCACTCTCGCTCTGCTATTTCAAACGTGACACAGGTCTTCATTCTGGGCCAGCGAATTCCCGAGATTCTGTGTGGCAAACCTGGGGGAGTTTAACTAAAGCAAAAGCACTTTAGACTTACTGCACAAAGCAAGGCCTGCCTTCTACGTGTGCACAGAGGCACCCCTACTGTCTCTGCAAATATCTATTTCTCTTTGAGAGTGACAGCCAGGTACAGGGCCCGACATGGGTCAGTTTTCCGGAGGAGAACGAGTGCCCATGAAGTCAGTGCTGCTGATCCACTAGAACGGATAAGCATGGGCTCCCAGGCTCTATGGCTGGAAGCAGGCGCACTGTACCAGTTGACTCCCTGCTTACGTGGCCTTTGGCTCCAGCCCCTGTGACATGGAATGGCCTGGACCCAGAGCTTCTCTGAAGGTCCTTACATTGAACCTGAGACAGTGCTGAAGGTCATGGAAACACTGTTCCTCCATCGCAGGGATATGAAGTCCATGATGCCTCCTTATCTGCCAAAAGGCCACAGGGGGAACAGGAGGCTGGGAGGGTGAGCCCTAAATTCCAGTTGGCAAATAATCTATTCCTGGATAGTTTTACTTAATCTCATAACCCAGTGCTTCTCCCCCAGGGGTGATTTTGCCCAATGTCTAGAGATATTTTCAGTTATCACAATGCAGAGGAACTGCTAATGGCATCTAGTGGATGGAGACCAGAGATGCTGATCAACATCCTACAGTGCACAGGAGGGTCCCCTAACCAACCTTAAATGTTAATGATGCTGCAGTTGAGAAACTCTGCATTAATTACTTGGAAAAAGATTGAGTTAGATGCCTTACTCACATTATACACCAAAATAAGTTCCCAGTGGGTCAGCCAGTACAAACTGGGGTGACCCCCTAGCTTCTGTGAGTCACCTCTTCTCTCCCTCCCCACACTTTGTGTGTTTAAATGTGTGTAGCATCCTAGGACCACAGGTCAGATGATCAGGGAATGTAGTCTCTTGGGGGGTCATTGGACTCTCCTAACCCAGGGGTTCTTAAATTCAGGTGATTCCACCCCTGAGGGAACATCTGGCAATGCCTGGAGACATTTTTCCTTGTCATGACTGGGGGAGGGGGGGTGGCACTGGTATCCTGTGGGTAGAGGACAGGGATGCCACTAAACATCCTACGATGCACAGGACAGCCCCCACCAGCCCCAATGTCAGTAACGCTGAGGTGGAGAAACACAGCTATAATCCAGAAGAAGCTTTTTCTCCACTCAGACATCCAATCAGAAGAGTAACATCCACTAGTAACTGACAGTATATCTGCACCTGCCAGTGGGTCAATTATCCGACAAATGTTCTCTCTGAACATGACCTTCAGACGTGATTAGCGTCCTCCCTATTCTACAGATGCAGGAACAGAGGTCCAACATCCTGCCCAAGATCCTGGACAAGTAAGTGGCAGAGGTAAGACACAAACCAAGGACAATCAATCCAGGCATTTCCAACTGTGCCCCGAGTAGTCAACCGGAGCCTTCCAGTCAGTCCCAGGTTAAAACTCCCGCAGGCTGGAGAGATGGGGATGAAACCCGCGCCGATCTCACTACAGGCTCCACTCAGGCTCCTCACAATGGGGCTCCACTATCACATGCCAGCAGTTCTCAAACTGCTTGGTCTCGAGACCGCTTTCCACACTTGTAAATTATTGAGACTCTCCAAGAGCTTTTGTAACTGTTGGCTACAGCTGTTGATACTTAGCAGGTTAGAAATTAAAACTAAGAAAACACCAAAATGTTAACTTATTTAGGATAATAATAGCAAAGGCTTAGCTAAACAATAAATTTTATGAAAAATAACTTTTTAAAAAAAAATTAGTGAGAATAGTGGCATTATTTTGCATTTTGACAAATCTCTTTAATGTCTGGCTTAAGACAAGACAGCTAGAGTCACTTATCTGCTTCTGCAGTCCATCTGTTGCTATATCACACTATTACAACCTTTGGATAAAACTCCACTGTCCATTCACAAGAGAATGGGAGTGAAAAGGGCAAACAATGTCTTTGTATTGTTATGAAAACAGTTTTAAACTTGCAGTCTCCTTGAAAAGGTCTTGGGGACTCCCAGGGTCCCCTGGACCATCCTGGAGAACTGCTGCCCTATGCTGCTGAGGCCTAGCAGTCGGGGGACAGTGAATCCTGAATCCATTACAGACTGTCAAAAGCTTTTCGCTGAGGTTCTCCGCTAACGTGCAGAGACAGCTGCGTCTAAGAGGTGGTACAACAGGGCTGAAACCCAAATGCCAACCAAGGTCGGGCAGGCACTGGAAAAGAAGGAAGTGGGCCAGGTCCCAAACTACTCAGGGTGTCCTGGAGGGCACACAATCTATCTTTTTATTTTATTTTGAGCATTCCAAGTCTTTTTATTTATTTGCAGACACATCTTACATATTTGTGACCAGTATGTCTACAATTTCCATCTAATATTCTCTCTTATGCATTTCATGTGTTGGCTGTATCTTCAACGTTATAATTTGGGGCACACAGTCTATCTTAAGGGCAGCAGCTGCTCCTCCATTCCTGGAGACTTGTTACTGCACAAGACCACTGGAAGAGGCTGGTTCCAGCTTTCCAAGAGAAATCAGAAACCTAGATTATTTCCCCCCCTGAAATCTCAGAATTCTTAAGTGTTGGTTCCTAATTAAAAACAAACAAAAATCCCTAAATGGGCCAAATTAAACACATCTGCTCGCCCCTGAAGCAAGTTTGCAACTTCTGCCTGTGGTTTTTGACTCTGGCTTCATGTCGTAAAACATCTGTGGAGCTTTTTAAAACTACAGACACTGGGGACCTCCTGCCACCATCACTGATGGGGTGGCCCAGGCGTCACTTTTTATTTTCCTCAACAGGCTCCTTAAACAAGTATGGAATGCACTCAGGGCTAAGACTCACGACAAGTACTAGGCAATAGCACCGAGTGTCAAGATTGCCAAGGATGAAGCAAACTGTGGACAGGCAGGGGGCTTTTCTCTTGAGGCCCTATGCTATATGGCTTTCTACCAAGTCGTACAAAGTCCCACCGACCATGAACAAGACTCCATGGGACCCAGGAAGGATAATGTGCATAGGTGGCAAAAACAAATCCCTTCAAACAAAACAAAGAACTCCTGCTGCTTGCTGCCACCTCCATCAGCTCCACTAGATCCTGAACAGATAACGCCGCAAACCCACCTGCCTCCAGATTGCTTCCAAGTACCATGGAGAGCTACCAAGGCTGGGCCAAGTTAACACCAGCCACCTCTGCTGCCTGCCTTACTCGGGGTTTTCAGAACAGAAGAAAGGCCCTTCTCAGATCCCCCAAATGGCCCTCATCTCCCTCATCTTCATAACAGAAGAAAGGCCTTCTCAGATCCCCCAAATGGCCCTCATCTCCTCTGAGGAGATGAGGCCTCTACCCTGGCCTATTCTCTGTGCCCGAACTCACTAACTAGGCTGGAATTGAATTGGTACCTAAAATGCCCCCTTTGCCACTCCTACACACTGTCAGTCTTCCAAATGCCATCTGAGCTTGGCTGCTCTAACCTCAATTCGTTCCTATTGCTTCCACTCACTCTCACTCCCCCACAGTATAGTATAAAGACACCAGATCCCCACTAGCCCTGACACCCAATGAATGTGCGACGGTAACAGGACTGCTGGGGTAATCCCATTTTCCAGTTAACCAAGAGGCAGGCCGAAGACATGGTCCAAAAGTTTTGCAGAACTACGACCTTTTCGGTCTACACAACAGAACCCAAACTTAAATTTTCTTCAAAATGTGTAAAGATTCTGCAGCCTCGGAGGTAGCATGACACCACCCAGCTACCACCAGGCCCATCCGCTACAGATGTAAGAGGCACCACAGGGTCACATGTACACATTCTGATCTCAGAACAAATCCCAGAGTTAATGTTTACCATAACTTCATGACAAATTTTAAAACAGTGGTCTCTCACTCATCCTAAAAATTAAGTTTATGGCAGGGGATGGTGAGAATTTAGTGATTTGAGGATTCCAACTAATTCATTTGTATCTCATTCTCTCAGGCATTAAGTTTTAAGTCAACAAGTAAGGTGAAAACTGAGAAAAGCCAAACCACCCTTGAAAATCTCTAGAGTGACATTTGGTCAGGCTAGATGGGAGGTTTTCAACTTTGGGTAACTTTGCGCTCCCCCCCAACCCCAGGAACACTGGGCAATGTCTGTAGACATTCTTGCATTTTTTTACTTTATTTTTATTTTTTAAAGATTTTATTTATTCATTTGAGACACAGAGATACAGAGAGAGAGCATGAACAGGGGGAGAGGCAGAGGGAGAGGGAGAAGCAGGCTCCCCGCTGAGCCAGGAGCCCGATGTGGGGCTGGATCCCAGGACCCTGGTATCATGCCCTGAGCCGAAGGCAGACGCTTAACCATCTGAGTCACCCAGGCGCCCCATGCAGACATTCTTGGTTGTCATGACTGGGGGAGGGAGGAGGGTGCTGTTGGCATCTAGAGGGAAGAGATCAGAGAAGCTGATCAACATCCTACAAGGCACGGGGCAGTACACATGCCGAAGAATTACCTGGCCACAAACGTCTATAGTGTCAAGGCTGAGAACCCTGGGCGAGGTTATCATGTGAAAGGCAAGACAGAACCCAGGAGGGCTGACAGCTCAGCTCCAGGCGGCTTCCCATCATGGCTCACCCCGGGGCCATCTCATCAGTGGGCTAGATTCACCTGCACTATGCATAATCATTTCTTGTGCTCTCTCTCTCCTGAACACTTAATGCCAAACCAGTCCACGATGAGTCCACCGTAGTAAAAAATAGCTACAATTTACTGACTGTTTATTACTGTGTGTGCAGATAGGTATTAAATAATTCATATGCATTAATTCATCCAATGCTCACAGCAGCCATGAAATACCCATGATTCTCATTTCACTGGTGAGGAAACCGAGGCTCAAAGGCATTAAGAAATTTGCTCATAGTCATTCAGAGAGTACATGACAGAGTCAAAACACAAACCCAGTTCTCTGCATGGCAAAGCCTGTGCCCTGCCATTACTTTACACCAGTGGGTCTTACCCCAGGGGTGGTTCTCCTCACCCCCTGCCCGGGACATGCTGCAATGTCTGAGGACATTTTTAGTTATCATGACCCCTGGGGTAGGGGTGCAGGGGAGGGTGTGTGCTGCTGGGATACAGTGGGTAGAGTTAGGGACAGTGCTACGCTGCTAACATCCTACAATGCATAGGACAGCCCTCACAACAGAATTATCTGGCTCAAAATGTCAGTAGGGCCAAAGCTGAGAACACTGCTTTATACCATGTCCACAGGCCAGCAAGGATTTATATGTACGTGGTTATCTTTAAACACTGGGATCTGGAATCCAAGATATCCTATAGCTCAAATACACTTTACTCACCCCCGCCCATTCTTTACCTTTTCCAGACACAAAACTCTGCATTCAAATCCTGACATCCATCTATGATGCAGAGTAACTTCAGGGATAGGATGATTAATGAATTAGGAATATATCAATAGCAAAATGCCAAGCAGGAGAGAATATCCCTGGACACAAGTGTAAAACACACACACACACACACACACTCTCTCTCTCTCTCTCTCTCTCTCTCCTAGAAGAGAAGCATTCCAACTGGACTTTAAAAGTCACAGACTATAGGAGTACCAAGAAAGGGCTGTGGGAGTTGCTGTCACCATCCCTGAAGAGATCACCATGGCAACAAAGGCCAACAAGATGCTGTATTAGATACACAATTGGAAACGTTTCTTTGTGAACAAGCACAGCACACCTAACCTGCACTACTCAAGCCAATGGTTCTCAATCCTGGCTGCACATCTGAATCGCCCATGCTGCTTTCTCACTGTACAGATGCCCAGGGCCCACTCGACATCTCACAGAATTGGAATGGATAGGGTGTGGGGATTGAGCCTTTGTGGTTTTAAGAAAGCTCCCCTGGTGATTCTGATGCCCAGCCCAGGTGCACAGTCATTGCCTCAGACTCAGAGAGAGGTGGCAATGGCCCAGGGAAGGGAGACAGAAGGGTCGGAGGTGAAGATGGACCAGCTTGGAATACTACTTGGAATACCACTCTGGAAAAACAGAAGCTAAGAGGGCATTTGACTGGAGCTTAAACAGAAGGAGGAAAAGCACACATATGGGGCAGTCCCTAAAGCTACAAAATGCATAGGCAAGAAAGCCCTAGTTTACATAGCAGATAATAAATTAAACATCTCAGCACGCTGTACAAGCCAAAAAGCCACTAAGATTTATGTCCTGAGGACAACTATGCCAGAACTAGTGTCAGAGGCAAAAGTACTGAGTGAGTGTGGCATTTATTAGGCAAAAACTTTAAGTATAAACCATTCCATTTCTCTATTTTATACTTACCGTTCAATTAAGCAATCAAAAGCTCACGTGTCAGCCCATATGGTAGAAATGGTATCCCTGGAAAACAGGAATCCATAATTTTCCCTTTGTGCTCAAAAGTATACCTCACAATAAGGGTCCTCAGTGATGAATTCATTCATTCATTCCACAAACATTTCTTGGATACCTACTCTGTGCCAGGCACTGCTTAGATGTAGGGAATCCATCCGTGATCATGACAGAAAGAAATCCTTGCCCTCATGGAGCTTATATTCTAGAGGGATAGTCAAACAAGTAAACTTCGCATGTCAGATGATGATATGTGCTGGGGAGGAAAATAAAGCAGGATAAAGGGGACAGGGAATGGGGATCCAATTTAACATATGTGGCCAGAAAAGTGCTCCATAAATAATGTTTGAGTAAAAACCTGAAGGAAGTGAAGGAGTGAGCCATAGGGATATCTGGGGGAAGACTGTTTCAGGCAGGGGAACCGGAAGGTCCAAAGGCATAAAGGAGGGTGTGCAGAGTCCATTCAAGGGACACCAGGGAAACCAGAGTGGTTCAAGCAGAGCAAGTCAGGGAGAGAGTGGTGTGATGGGAGGAAAGGGAGGTAGAAGGGGGCCCTTCTAGGGCTGAGTTGTTAGATGGGTAAAGATGGAAGGGAGGCCCGAGTGGTGGAAACCAGCATTGGTGGTGAGAAGTGGTCACTTCCGGAGATATTTTAAGGTAGAACTGACAGGATTTGCTGTGGCATATGAGAGAGAGAGAGAGGAGTGAAGGGTAACCTCAAGGATTTTGACCTGGGCAATTCAAAGAATGGACTTGCCATTTACTACAAATGGGAGGAAGACTGTGGAGTGGGCAGGTGTTGCGGGCAAAGACAGGGATTTCGTTCGACGTGCCCATGAGACATTTAAATGCAAATATTGACTATGATGTTAGATATATTGAGTCTTGAGTTTGTGAAAATTAATAATGGGAAAAGCCTCACTAAAGCAGACTTGGGGGGGGGCTAGAAAGGGAGGCCAAAAGGGGTTGCCTTACCACGCAGCAGAAGTTAGGGGGAGAACTGTCAGTTATAGCCCCCAAAAGAAGAAACATCAACAGGAAAGAAAGATCAATTCCAGGCCCTGACAGAGGAGGTACATTGAATCTTCTATAAGAAATCCACTACCCCTGTAACTTAGCCAATGAGAAACTGTCATCACCCTGAACCGCTGCTTTTCTCCAACAGACTTCCAATTCAAAACAAGTTCTCCAGCAACTTTCCCCCCTCCCTAAAATAATGTTCCTGTCCTTCCTTGTGAGACTTGCCTATGGTTTTGTCAGCGCTTGCTCGTCTTAAATTGCGATTCTCTGTCACTCCTGAATAAGCCCATCTTGCTAGTAAAATAGCTGACAGTATTATTTTTAAGATCAACAAGTCCAGAAACCGAATGCGCCAAAGCTGTAAATACATACAGTATGTCACATTGATTCCCATTTATCCACTCCCTCTCCTGCCTTGAATTGGATCTTATAAACTGGAATGCCTCATCCCTCGGTGGGCTCCTTTATCTTGGAAAAGAGATACAGCACAAAAGGGCAGGCGGTGTGGGTGTGCATATGGGGGCCTGGGCTCTGAAGCCAGACGACCCAATTCACACATCTCTCCTGCTCAAGAGCTGGGTGACCTGCCTTGGACAAGTAACTTAACCGCTCTAACTCAGTTTCCTCACCAAGAGAACAGGCCCACAGTACCTACCTCACGGATCTTTTGTGAGGAGTATTACAAGACAACAGGATGCAAGACTTTGAACGGTACACGGTACTACCCCCAAACGCTCGGCCGGGGTGGGGGCGGTTGTTATTTCATTCACGCATTCTTACAGTTCGGCATGGAAACCTCAGGACACCCTCTGGTAGCAGGGAGCATGGTATGGGGGAAGAGGACCAGGCAGGTAGCCAGCTTGCCAGAACTACAGTTGTGCACCTAGAAACGGAGGGAGCTAAAAATAGGCCTCGGAAGTCCTGAGGCTACCGCGATACCAACACCACTATTGATTTAAACAGACATCAGCTTACGGAGTGCTTTCTCAAGAGGATTTAGAACCCTAACCTTGTCGAAAACGCTCGGGTGGGATGTCAGCGCTCCGGGGAGGAGGGGATTCGCACAGCCTGTCTGTCTCCCTCTCTGGAAGTGCAGCGAAAAAGGGCCAAAAAGCAGCCGGGGCTTTCAGCAGTCCACATCCTGCGGCCAGGCCTAAATGCAGGGAGACGAGGCGCGACTCTCAGGTCGCCACTAAGGATCCGGGGCAACTGGCGGGAACTGGGGGCCGAGTGCGGGGGGGTGGAGAACAGACCAGGTGTCCTCCATACTCGGCATGGAGCGGGCCCGCGTAGGATGAGAACCCCACAGGATTCGGGGGCGGGCTTCCTCGGCGCCAGGACGAGGAAAGGGACAAGCCCGGTCCCCGGGAACGAGGGGGCGCAGGAGGGAGCGTGGCGCGCTGGGCGACGACCAGGCCCGGAGGTCTATTTACATCTGAGGCCAAAGCGCTGAGGCCTCGCCTCCCGCCCCCTTCGGGCCCCGACCTGGCCCGGGGAGCAGAAGGGCCTCAGAGCCATGGCTCCAGCGGCCTCCCGGGCCCTCTGGCCGGACCGTGGCAGGGCCGAGGCTGCCGGGAGTGATGGGCCGGGCCGGTGAGTCCGGCCTGAGGGGACGCAATGGGGGGCGGCTGTGGGGCCCGTTGGGCCGCCGTCCCGGAACACACGGTCCCCCGCACTCCGGGGTGCTCACCCCTCAGGCTTGTGGCCCCTCGGCCTCCCGCCGCCCGTTCCCTGGCCGCCAGCTAGCCCCCGACGGCGCCTCCCCTACCTTCGTTCGCCAGGTCCGCCATTTTACTTCCTTAAGCCCTCCCACAAGGCCCCGCGCCGGCCCGGGCTCGCCTGCTTTCTGCCAGAAACTCCCGCGCGTGCGCACTTCGCGAGCTGACTCCGAGCGAGGCCGACAGCTCGCGCCTGCGCGCTGAGACCGGCGCGGAGTCGCGCTCCGGCCGGCCGTCCCGGCCCAGCCAAGCTCCGAGCACGCGCCTGCGCACTAACTGCACCCTCCCCCGCCTCCTTTTCCCGCCGACCAAGGGGGCGTGGGCAGCGCAGGGCGCATGCGTAATGAGCCTGGCGCGCGTCAGCGGCGACGCGGGAACGAACGTTCGGTGAGACGGCGCGGAGGGGGCTGGGTTTCGACGCCCTGGATTTCTGCTCGTTTTCCAGGAGTTCCTTGAGGTGGGAGCGCGAGCCGCCGAGGGAGCCGCGACTGAAGCCTTCCCCGAGGTGAATCTCTGGATCTGTGGGGGGCGGGGGGGCCGTCCACATGCGCAGGCCTGACCAGAGGCCTTCGGGGCGCCCCGTCACCTGCGGCCTCAGTTTCCCCTTCCGAGGGCCCAGTTATTCAGGCCTGCGTTTTCCTCAGGCCACGTGGGGCGGGGGGGAAGTTGGGGAGGGGTCAGAGGTCGAAGGGCGCCGGCCGGAGGAGGGATCAGTCCGGGAGGGGCCCCTGTGGGCTGGGGGGCCACGGGGGTGGGAGCCCCGGGACGGCGCCTGGCGCGGAGCGGGGCCTCGAGCGTCTGGGTGTGAGAGCCGGGCTGGACCGGCCCGGGGGCTGAGGGAAGGTGTCCCGCCCGCCCGCGCCGCCTCGCCGCCTCTGCTCACCTGCCCCGAGTCGGTCTGAACGCATTCCTGGCTCTGCTTTGTTGCCAGGACACAGGCCACGCGAGGCCAGCCTCGCCTCCCCTGGGGAGACCGCGCCGCCTCCTGGGGGGCTCTGCGCTCCGGTCGCGCACAGCGCCAGGCAGAGGAGTCTTTAACCAAATTAAACTAGATCAAGGGCCCATCTTTCCTCCGCGCGTCCAGAGAGCTTTCTCCTGAATTTGGGAGTAAATTCTAAATCTCTCGTTAAGGCTCACGAAGCTCCCTACGCTGTGCTCTCATGCTCCCCTCTTGCTCAGTGCGGCTTAGCCACATGGGTCTTTCCGGCCTGAAGCAGGCCGAACTCCTTCCAGCCTCCGGGTCTTTGCACCTGCTGAGCCCTCTGCCGGGGCTTTGTGTCCCGGGTCCAGTCCCTTGTGAGTCCCAGCTCCACTCCTCTTCCATTGTGATCTAGACAGAGAGGTCCCACAGCCTGTTGGCTGCATCTGGCCTGTGAGCTAAGAATGGTTTTACACTTTGAATTGTTGGAAAAAATCGAAAGAAGAATATCTCACGACATGTGAAAATTGGATGAAATTTAAATTTCAGTGTTCACAAATAAAATTTTATTTGAAAATAGTCACACTACGTATTGTTTGTGGCTGCATGACTCCTTTTTAACGGAGACTGGCCAACAAAACTTAAAATATCTGCCATTTGGAGGGCCCTGGGTGGCTCAGTAGATCAAGCATCTGCCTTGGGCTCAGTCATGATCCCAGGATCCTGGGGTTGAGTCCGCTTGGGGCCCCCTGCCGGGGAGGGAGTCTGCTTCTCCCTCTGCCTCTCCCCTCACTCTTGTCCCCCCCACCCCCGACTAACTAAATAAATCTTTAAAAAAATATTAGCCACTTGGGTCTTTACAGAAAAAGTGTGCCAACCCCTAATCTACGTGGTTGCCCTGTATGCATCTCTACGAGAACTGAAAAACGGGGCTTGACGAATGTTTAACAGCTGCTTCTCTGGGGGAGATTGTGTGTGTCAGTATGTGTATGTATATGTATTTATATGTGTGCTTGTGGGGTAGTCTATTGTAAATTTTATTTATATTTTCTTATCACTTAAGGCTAGAACATAATTAATAAAACAATGAAACGAACCCTGGTTTGTAGTGCTGATTTTCTTGGTGTAAATTCTTCAACCATGGCTAATTTCAGTCTACTAATGTGAACTTCACTAACTGCAGAGCTAGGAAGAGATGCTCAGAACACACTATATATGTTCCGAGATTTTTTTTTTTTAAAGATTTTATTTATTTATTTGACAGAGAGATAGCGAGAGCAGAAACACAAGCAGGGGGAGTGGGAGAGGGAGAAGCAGGCCTCCCGCCGAGCAGGGAGCCCGATGTGGGACTCGATCTCAGGACCCTGGGATCATGACCTGAGCCGAAGGCACACGCTTAATGACTGAGCCACGCAGGCGCCCTAGAGCTTTCTTTTTTTCTGTGTGGTTCCCAAATCAACAGCATCACCAGGAAGGTTCTTAGAAATACAGAATCCCAGGTCCTAAACCAGACCTTAATCAGAATCCACATTTTAACAAGATACCCTGGGGCTTCCTATGCATGTCAGACCTTGAGAAGCACTGTTCAGAAACTTTCATTTATTTGGGGGGGAGGGGTGAGAAATGGTTAATACTATTAAAAATTACACTTTTTTTTTTTAAAGATTTTTATTTATTTATTGAGAGAGAGAGCATGAGAGGGGGGAGGGTCAGAGGGAGAAGGAGACTCCCCGCTGAGCAGGGAGCCCGATGCGGGACTCAATCCTGGGACTCCAGGATCATGACCTGAGCCGAAGGCAGTCGCTTAACCAACTGAGCCACCCAGGCGCCCCAAGAATTACACTAACTTTATTTAATAGATGCCTTGATTCTCCTGCCCTAGATTTTGCCATCAAAATATAAACACAGGCCACAGACCTTGAATTAGAAATTCTCTAGGAATAGCTAGAATATCAATGCTGCAAAGGATGGTGGTGGTCATTGAGTCCATCTGGTTCACCAGCAGTGTGTAGGCTTAGGTTTTCTCATTTCTAGTTTGTTGGTTTCATTATATTCATTATATTTCATTTTATACATACTTTCTCTTGGGTAGGTCTTCTTGGCTTTTGCCATGTGCCTAAACTCTATGACCCTTAATGAACTTAATACTTTTTTTTTTACAGGCCTTTTTATTGGTTTACATTTACATTAAATAGAGTATATCACTATCCAAATACCACTAACCCATGAGTAGGAGAAAATTGTAAAAATAAACATGAAAACAAAACAAGGTTTTTTAAATTCTGGGTTGATATTGTCTGCCAAGGTGCTAAGCCCAAGCCTGCTTTTTCTTTGATGTAAAGAGAGATTTGCACAGTATTAGAGGGTCAGTAGAGGCATATGATCACTCAGTGGAAACTCGACAGTATGAGAAGTACCAAAAGAGAACTGAAAACGGGATAGCTGTAAATCATGTGATTCGGTGTCATCTGATGCTATGTCTGCCATGTCTCCTAAAGTCATTTCATAGACCACATTCATCCCACACTTGGGGCAACTCCCAGCAACACGTCATCACTTGCTAAATATAATCCAGTTGTGGTTTTTCAAGGGACATAGAGAGATGCTAAACCTGTCAGTCTGATGAGCCAACCAAATTTCCACTGGTTTCACAGTTGTTTCCAAAGTGCCAATGGCTGCCAACAATTGCCCCTTAGGCCAGTTTTTGCTTTATCTGGTCTCCTCTAACGAGGTAACTTAGTCAATATTTATTTATTTATTAAATCAATATTTGTTTATCACTTTTTGGTGGTAGTTGGAAATAAGGTCCCAAATTCTTTGACCCTCTTTCCATCAAAAAAGATGAGGTCCCTGTTCCTTTCCCTTGCGTGGAGGTGGACTCGTTAGTGGTGGATGAATAGAGCACAGTGAAAATGACACTGTAACCTATGAGGCTAGGTCAGAACAGAGAGGATGCAACTTTCATCTGCTTTGCTGGAACAGCAAACCTGAAAATCTTCAGTCTTCATGTAAATAGTCCCATCTGCCCTGAGGCCTCCATGCTGTGAGAAAGCCAAAGATACACAAAACCCTGAGAGAACTGCCCAGCTAGCCCTTCCTGTTCTTCACACACAGAAACCATGAGAGATAAATTAAATGATGGTTGTTATTACAAGCCCTTAAGTCTAGGAGACAGGTGTTACACAGAAATATATATCCATGGCACTACTGTGCATTAGGCACTGTTCTGCATGTTGGGGCCCAGGCTGAAAAAGACCCTGGCTTCATGGACCTTTGACTCTGCCTTCATGGAGTTTTGCATTCTTTTGTAAGGAGATTACAATAGACAGGCAAGGTAATAAGAGATAGTGACTAGCTAGTGCTACAAAGAAAATAAAACAGCATATTGTGACAGTGATAGAAAAAGGGGATATTGGGGTGCCTGGGTGGCTCAGTTAAGCGTCCTGCCCTTGATCTCAGCTCAGGTTTTGGTCTCAGGATCGTGAGTTCAAACCCCACGTTGTGCTGGGTGAGGAGCCTACTTAGGGAAAAAGAAAGGGAGGAAAGAAAGAAAAAGGGAATACTTCAGATTGGCTGGTCAGGGAAGTCCTCTCTGAGGAGGTGACACTTAGTAGAAGATCTGCGAGTACAAAGGTCCTGAGGCAGGAACCAGCTTGGTGAGCTGGAGGAGCCATGAGGAGTTTGGTGTGGCTAGGGCAGAGTGAGGAAATGAGGTCAGGGAGGGGGCATGTAGGACCTTGTAAGCCACAGCAATGAGTTTGGAGTTTTTCCTAATATAAAGGTTGGGAGTGGGAAATGGAAGGATCCAAATGATTTACCCTAAACTGCTGATCGACTGGCTTCTCAGCTGCCTGCTTCCTCCTTGGCTCACCAAGAGACAAGTTCGAGGACTGCCTGAGCCCTGGCTGTGCTCTGAGAACTGTGAACTTCCCTTCACAGCCATGTTCTTAATGGCTTCTGTAGTTGGTCTCCAGTAAAAAGGGCCTTCACAGCTGCAATTAGGTTCTCATCTTCCCATCATGGGCAGGTATTTGCTCTGTGCCCAGCCCCATGCTGAGATTGAGGCCCCAGAGATTAATCAGCTACACAGTTCCCCACCCTCAGGGAGCTCAGAGTCAAGTGAGGGCAGGGGGAGTCATCCTGGGTTGCCTCCTCCACTCAGCACCCTTCCCTGTCCTCCCCCAGTCCACAGGTGGAGTTCATGACAGGAGGATGTCCGATGTGGCCGATGCTAATGCTGATGGGGGGGGCCTCTGACCCAAGCTGGGTGCATCAGCTTCCCTCACTCCCATATTCTGCAGCAGTTAAATATAGTATGGAATTGGGAGGAAATACTTATTCTATGTTACTTATAATTTTTACAAATTTAACTTTTCAATTTAAAATATAGATTTAAATGAAAAAGTTGCAAAAATAGCACAAAGAATTCCATATAGTCTTTGATGTGGTAAACAAAGGCAAAAGAAAATTACTAAATTTCCTTACTACTTACAGCCTATTGACAAGTCCTTGAAACAGGCAGGGTGACATTCCTCTAGGGATGCAACTGCCTCAATGTTAATACTTTGCTAAGGGCAAAAGGCAAT